TTTTTTGCATTATCCAAAAAAAATTTCTTCTACTAAACAAAAAAATGGTATATTTTTAATTATTACTTTATTGTTATTACTATCATTTAAAATTATTTTTTTAATATTTTGATGTCAACCAACTTTTTCATTTCGAAAGAGTAAAAAATATTATAAGAGGTCATAACAACTCAAATAATATTTAACTCTATGGTATCTTCTTGAATGAGTATGAACTAAGAGATCTCTTTCAAATGTTACATTTGAATTATTTCCCTAAACCTATATAACAGCAACTTGGTTAATAAATGAATAATTATAAACTCGTTGATTTATATTAACATTTTTGCAGTATTCAAAATCTTCAAAAGAAGATTTATTTTTTAATCTTTGCAAGATTTGGACATAAAGATTTTTTTTTAGAATTATTATTAGTATTTTCATTATTTTTGCACTTAAATTTTAATTGTGTTGTGTTCTCATTCAATTTTGAAATTTATTATCAGTGTAATAAAAGTATGGCTAAAATAAAAAAGATTAATCAACTCAAACTTGAAACAATTTAAAACTCAAATTGAGTATAAATAAAATTTTTAGTCATTTTAAATTTTAATTTAATTAAAAATAATATAATACACATAATTATAAATATGAACCACTTGACTCGATTTCAATTGATTTTAAAAGTTAACAATTTAGTAGTTATTTAAAACTTGAAATAATTGAACATAACCAAAATCAGAATTGAAATAGTAACTCAATCAAATTCTAATATTTCTTATTTATCTTTTGTAACAATTTAAAAGTTTTTTATTTAAGTTTTTTTTCTTTCATCTTCAATGTTTTATTTTTATTGTCTTTGTGGCTGAATTAGTTAATTAATTTTAAAAGTATTTGTAAAATGAAATTGCAAAGATAAGTAATTGAGTATTTTTTATTTGGATTTAAAATGATATAAATCTAGTTTTTTAAGTAAAGAAAATTATGCACCAATTATTGAGTCAATTTTAGTCAGATGTATAAGTGAATTATTTAGTATACTATGAATAAAAGTATATGGTAAAACTTGACCTAACAAAATTAATTGCTAATCTTAAGTCTAAAATCCAACTCAAAACTATGAAAAGTTAAAATTCAAAAAGATTGAAATCTAAATACACAATTAAATAAAGATTTATCAAATGAATTTTGCTAATGAATGCATTCAAATCACTTTTAAGTTTAGTTAAATTATAATTAATAATAGTATGCTTATATTAAATGTAATAGTGATAATTAATTCGATGAATTTTTCATTTATTTGAACAAATATTACCTAATATGGCTACCTTAAAAATTTTGATATAACAATAACTATTCTTAATTGACATAAAAGAGAAAATGAAGAAGTATATAATGTCTTTCCAAATAAAAAAGTTTCATACTAATCCTAAAGAAATTTGAAACCAATATATTTGTATATTTTTTATTGAACATCATATAAAACTAACATTCTTTATCATATGCAAAAAAATGGAGTAATCAATTTTTTGTCTCATTTTTTTGCTTAGGATAATATTCCATTGATACTTTCATCAACTGAATGTAATTGTACATTCTATCAATTAAAAACATTAATTTTTTTATTTAAAAAAATTATTATACATAATTTTTATTATATAAAAATATTAAAATACATAATTTTCAAAAATAAAATAAAATAAATTGCTAACTTTGGTACTTGTCATGTTTTATAAAGAAAATTTCAATTCTAAAAATAGCAAACTAGTTATGTAATACTTATAAAATTTATCATGATTTCATTTTTAGCATTAACAATATAAAATTTTGAATGTAACTTTGGCATAAACTCATTTAAAAGACAATTCCAATGAATTTTGTTACACCTTAAAAGAATTCACCAAAAATAATTAATTTTAGTTTACTTGATATTTTTTACTTCAAATAATTTATGTTAGGTCGTTCAACCACCTAGATACAAAAAAAAAAAAGTAAGCAATTTAATATAATTGAGAAAGATTAAATAATCTTAAGATATAAATTAATCATAAATAAGTATATTACGATAAAAGTTAAGAAAAAATTAAATTAATTATTGTTCAATCAAAGTAAATAATTCTTATGACAATTTGACAAGAACCAATCCTAAGTTATTGATAACTCCACCATCTCCTAAATTATCTAATTGTACAAGTGGAATGTCTAATTAAAGTTTTTAATGAATCACATAGTACTAATTATTGGTGAGGCGAATGCAATTAATTTGCATTTGATTTGATATTTGTTTTCGTTCATGTGAATAATAATTATAAAATTCTAAAGGAAAAAAAATACAAAAGAGAAATTAATTTTAAGGTACATACTAATGTGTAAAAATTATATATTAAAAAATTATTTCAAGAAACTAAAAAAAAATTTTAATTATATTATCAATGATTAAATGATTAACTCATAAAACATATAAATAATAAAATCATTATCATATATATATTGTTAATATATTAAAACAAAAAATAAAAAGGCAAAAAATAGAAAAAAAATACTTAAATGACTTAATTATGATTATTTTTAATGAATTCATTTATGAACATAAATTGTATATACAATTGTTTTTACAACAATTAAAGAAACAAATTTTATATAATTGTTTTATTTTTATGCAGATTAAGTTTTGATATCATTCTATTTGTATTTTCATTTAATGTGAAAAATTATTCTACTTAAAAAAAAAAGAGTTTAACAATAAAAAAAGTCATTTAAATTAAAATTTATAAAAAATTACAAATGATATTTTAATAAATCACTTTAATTTTTTTGGAATTAAAATTTTATTAAAGGTTAGTCAATCTTTTTTAACACTTTTTAGTATAATTATTAAAAAAGAGTTTAATAATAAAAAATTTTATTTAAATTAAAATTTATAAAAAAAATTTACTAAAGATATTTTCATCAATCACTTTTAACACTTTTAGAATTAACATTTTAAAATTTAAAATAGTTTAATTTCTTATAAACTCTATTTTTTAATTCTAGTTGGTTAAAATTAAATTCAAATAAATAAATAAAAATTATATATTTAAAGATAAATTTATTAATTTAAAAATTTATAAAGATATTTAAGTTAATCATTATTAATACTTTTTTGGAATGCACTTTTTTATATATAAAAAATATTAGACACAAAATGTACAGGAAAACTTTTTTAAAGAATGAATTCACCATCATTAGGCTTCCAATTTTGACCATTTTGAAATCTATGCTCTTTTTGACTTGGTATAGGAAAAAAATAATGGAATTTGAATGCATTTTTGTGACACACAAGCTACTTTGCTCGTAACTTTACCTGCAAATAATCATCCACCTTTTGAATTTTTGACAAAATGCTGATATAGAAACATTAAAATGTGGAATATGAACAGAAAAGGAACTTGAGGCAATTTAGAATTAATAAAAAACATAAAGCAAGTCATCATAATTAAATCATGTTCTTTTGCATGATTCTTGGTTTATGAATATTAGAATTGTTTAGAGTAGAGATCTAGAGCTGATGACTTTGCAACTTTATGTCTGATCATCGATCTCTTAAGGTGGATTTCAATGGCTTCGGATTTGAAGCTAAACCCAAAGGTCAGGCAGGCAGATGGGTAGAGGGAAAGCTTTGAAGTCTTGTCCATCCTTTTCTACTAAAACTGCTTTAGCTATACCAATAAGACTCCATTTGCCTTTGCAATGATTATGTCCATCCTTTCCCTTTAAAATTGCTTTAGCTATACCAATAAGACTCCATTTGCTTTTGGAAAATAAGTGCCGAATCTAGGCTTCAAATAAGTGCCGAATCTAGGCTTCATATCCGCTATATATTTTTACTATTTCTAGAGAGAACCCATAATCTCTACCATTTATACAGGGTGCTTTGCAAATGGATGATTTTGATACATAAATTATACCGAGAATCAACCAACGTAGCCCAGGTAATAATGAAATTAATAAGATTATGGATCATGAATAATAATTTGATCAATTGCCAATTAGTTAAAACTTTAAGTATAATGGCACAAAATATATATTAGTAAAAAAATGTATTTTCATAAAAAATTATTTAATTGTCAAATTTTGAGATCACAAAGTAAACAAAAAGAAAAAAAAAACATGAATTTGACATTTATCCTCTGAACAGTCAATTAGTTGCATATTTAAAAAATATAATTTTGTATATGCTTATTTTTTCCTTTAATTGTTGTATATAATTAAGGGTTCAAGTTGTAAGACCAAGACTTCCTTTAATTCATAATTCATATTAATTATTGAACCAGGTCAGTCAATAAGTTTATTTAGAAGCAACGATAATGAAGAATTTAGCAATAGCCAATTAGTTTATGGGATAGTGCGAGGAGTAGATCTTGAGACTTGAAAACTTAGGTTAAAGTTCCAATAATAATGGATTAATTCAATTTTATTTTGAATTTTTCTAATTATATTTTGATTAGTTTGGTTATTTATTTAGTTTAATAGATAATTTCTTATATGTATAGGGTTTGTTTGGCTCAATTGTGAGTTTTATAAAAAAAAATGTCGTTCAAGTTGTGTTGTTCTAAACACGTTGTAAGGAGTTAAAATAATTTTTGGTAAATTTTATGCAGAAGTGTTGTAAAACATTAAAAACAATTTTATAGTATTTTATGTAGAAGTGTTGAAAAAAAAAAATGAGCATGTGGCGCCAATAACGCACTACTCATGTCCTTGGCCAGGTGTTGGAAATTGAAGGGAAAATTATAAGCCATTGATCAAAACTCAAACCTCCAAAATGGAATCTGCTCTTTGTTGTCTTTCTTGTGATTTAAATTATAAGATTATAATAAAAAAATTATAGATAAAATACTCCCTTTTTTTCATACGATATTGGTTTTTTACGTACATAACCTTTTTTCTTTTAGAAAGTTCAAGTCTCCAGTACACTCTTTATATAAACATATGCCCAAAATCTGTTTTTACCACTCCAAATCATCACCTCAAATCTAAAACAAAAACCAAATGTCGAATTTGTTTTTAATTTAAATCCATGTTATCTTCTTGTACAATGTCGAATAAAAGAACTAAAGCTCACTCAGTTTTGTTCATGTTCATGTTTTTTTTACTGATTAATTTTAACTTGTCTCAGGGAGACGACGTTGAGCTACTATTGTCCTTCAAGTCTTCAATCAATGATCCATTCGGTTTCCTTTCCAACTGGAATTCCTCAACTTTTTTCTGCCTGTGGCATGGCATCACTTGCAACAATTTGTCTAGCGTTAAGGCAATTGAGCTCTCTGATAAGAACATTACTGGGACAATTTCCTCCTCAATCTTTCATTTGCCAGACATCGAGACTATCAATCTTTCGCGCAACCAACTTTCTGGTGAAATTCCATGTGACCTGGTTTCTTCTGTTTCACTTCGATATCTTTATCTTAGTGACAATAATTTATCCGGTCCAATTCCAAATTGTTCAATTTTTCTGGAGAAATTATATCTCTGGAATAACCAGCTTTCTGGGAAAATTCCACCGGAGATTGGGGTGTGCTCAAATCTAAAAGAACTTGATCTTGGTTTCAATTATTTGGTGGGGAGAATTCCAAGCTCCGTATCAAATATTAGCAGTTTACAAATCTTGACTCTCGCCGGAAACAATTTAATTGGCCAAATTCCATGTGAATTAAGCCAAATGAAGAGCTTGAAGTGGATTTACCTTGGTTATAACAACCTTTCGGGCGAAATTCCACAAGAACTTGGTGATTTGGTTTCTTTGAATCTTCTTAATCTTGTCTGCAACAATCTTATCGGACAAATTCCATTCTCGCTAGGAAACCTCACCAATGTTCAATATCTATACCTCTATCAAAACAACCTTCAAGGTTTGCTTCCTAGATCCATTTTTGGCCTCAAAAAGCTTGTTGAACTTGATTTTAATGATAATTACTTATTTGGTGAGATCCCAGAACTCGTTATTGAGTGGCAGAGCTTGGAGATTCTTCATCTTTTCAGCAATGCCTTTACCGGTAAAATTCCAAATAGTCTAGCATCTTTGCCTCGTCTTCAACTCCTTGATCTTTCAGAAAACAGCTTGACTGGAGAAATTCCTTCTTTGATCTGCAATGTCAGTTCCATTGAAGTTCTGGACTTATATGATAATAACTTAAGTGGACCCATTCCTCAATGTCTAGGGAACTTCAGCAAACATCTTTCAGTCTTAGATTTGGGGTTTAATAAGTTTCATGGAACCATCATTGAGACTTTTGATGAGAACTGTGGATTGAAGAATCTCAACTTAAATAGCAATAAATTGGAAGGGTCGTTACCAGGATCCTTGGCCAATTGTAAAAATCTAGATTTGCTGGATATTGGTAACAACAAGCTAAATGGTACGTTCTCCTATTGGCTGTATACTTTGCCAGAATTACAAGTTCTTGTTTTACAGTCAAACAAATTGCATGGAACCTTAGAAAATTCCAAGGCCATCCGTCCCTTTCGTAAGTTACGGATTCTCGACCTATCTAACAATGAATTCACTGGTCCTTTACCGAAAAGTATAATAGAAAACTTGAAGGCCGTGATGAATCTCAATGAACAACAGAGTTCTTTGCAATATATGCAAGGAAGATATTATCTTTATGGTGTCAATTTGACAGTGAAAGGTCTTAATACTGGCCTTATTAAAATCTCGACAATCTTCACCAGCATTGACCTTTCAAACAATAACTTTCATGGAGAGATTCCAAGTGTTATTGGAAAGCTCAGTTCACTCAGAGGGCTCAACCTTTCTCATAACAACCTTACTGGTCATATCCCTACGTCAATGAGAAATATGATCGGTCTGGAATGGTTAGACCTCTCTTCAAACAAGCTTATGGGGCAAATTCCTAACGAATTGACAGAGCTGACATTTCTTGAAATCTTAAATCTTTCTCATAACCAACTCACAGGACCAATTCCTCAAGGCAAACAATTCAGTACATTTGAAAATGTCTCATATGAAGGAAACTTGGCACTATGCGGCTTTCCATTGTCAAAAGCTTGCAACAATGATGGGAGAAAACAATCACCTCCATCATTTTTTAAAGAGGCAGATGACTCAGAGACCAGCATCAGTTTTGGCTGGAAAGTTGTGTTGATGGGCTACGGATGCGGACTGATATTTGGAGCCCTCGTTGGATATGTTACATTCAGAAACGGTGATCCAAAATGGTTTATAACATTGTTTCGAGTCAAATATCATCGAAGGCAAGAAGATAATCGCGGAACCAGTCAATGCGGATGACTTTGGAAGTTATTGTAACCTGCGTTTCTCTGTTCTAAGTTCCAGTTGTATTGATTTCACACCCAAGAATTCATGGACATGTCTTTGTCTTTGTCTTTGCTCTAGAAATTAGTAATTCGTGTAATAAAATGGCCATGTATTTCGTAAGCAAATACGTATGGAGCTGGAGTGTGATAGCTGCATTTGCTTAATGAATGGCTTCTGTTGATATTTCCTTTTGATCTTTTTATTGTTACCTGCATCTGTACAAAGAATCTCATTCTTTCACTAATTTGAAAAACTAAAAAAGCTACTTTTCGTAAACATTTATAAACAAATGCAGATTAATTTTTTTTTTTTTATAAAATAACCCACAGTTTAAGAATAAGATAATAGATTATAAATACTGAGATTCAAACCCTACAAATTATCATGTGAATTAAGAATGAAACAAATGATAAAGGATAAAATTAATTTAATTAATAAGTATAAACCCCTATTTAGTTTAAATGCAATTTAACAATTATAAATAGGAAACATCATAATCCCCAAACAAACCATATAAAGTACATAGGTTTTAATTTTTTTCATAAAATTAAAAGCTAACTCTATAAATAAAGGGCTCATTTGATTTATTGGTTTTACTTCTAAAAAATTAAATTACTTACATTTATTATAATAAACTACTTTAAAATGAATATTGCTATTATTCTATTATAATTAATAATTCATTATTTGTTTATTAATAGAATAATAAAATTAAGAGAATATATAAAAAAAAAATTAATTATCTTGTTTTACAATACCATCCCATCTAAAATAATGATGAAAGAACACATTTCTAATTTGATATAATCTTACCGCCTTAAATTTAGGGTGGAAGGAGAAGTTTTAAGCAACAGCAATTCAATATTTTACCCCATTGACCAGGCCAAAAAAGCACGATGTATTGAAAAAAAACCCTGGCTGTCAAAGTGTATTGAAAAGTAAAATTTTCTTTGTTTCAATCTTAGCAAGTAGCCAAGCCATGGATCTCAATGTACGGTTGTTGTTGAAGTCTTTAATTTGATGTAACATTTTTTAACTTAAAATCTTGTGCCTAGTACCATTAAAATATTCAAACTTATGTCTTACCTTGAGATTTAGACGATTGATGATTTTTTAAGGAATTGTTGGTTATGTTTTTGTTTATGATTTTAAAATATGAGTTTTTTATCATTAAATAATTGAGATGAACGTTGGTGTGTGGGTGGGTAATGTCATGATGCATGGGATCAATCTTTTGCTAGAGATAGATTTAGGAAGACCACATAAGAATTTGAAATATGAAGCGTATTTGTATTCTTCATTGTTTTGGAAGCCCTAGTTTATAATGATGAACAATAATGTAATAGTCTCAAATAAATTAAATTTAGAATTATTGAGAGATATTATAGAACTTTTGAATTTTGTAATGTTAAATCATTGTTCATAGCTTTATTTTTTTCTAAGTGATCATTTGACGAATGAAGCTAATATCTAATGTTGTAAGAATGGAGGCGTTCTTGGTTAATTTTTTTGAATTATAATTATGATTATGCATTCTAATTAAATATTAATCTAGAATTATAGAGGGATATTGTAGAACTTTTGAATTTTATAGCATTAAATCACTATTCTTAATTTTTATTTTTTCTAAGTGATGATTTGGCAAATGAAAGTAATATCTAATGTTGTAATGAAAGTGTTCTTTGTTAATTTTTATGAATTATGAGTATGATTATGCATTTTAATTAAATATTAATTACTTCTCAAGTACAAAATGGTTAACATTTTATATACTGATGAAGTTTTTGACAAAGTCAAGTGATGTACAACATGATGCTCTTCGTATTGTAGATAAGTCTCAAACTGCTCATGTGTTTAATCAACTACTTAATACTCTAGTTGAAAATTCAAATACCGAGATAAATCTAGAAAAATAAGTTGTTGCTTCCACGTAAACAAGTGATTTCGAAAATTATATGCAGTAATGTTTTATTTAGGTTATGTAATAAATATGATTGTATATGTTTTCTTTCTAATTGTAAATTTTTTTAATGGGAAATGGAACTAGAATCATATTTTATTTTGAAACAATTTTTTGGTGACTATTTTGTAATCACAAGTGTATTTTTTGTGACAATTTGATTTTTATAGTCACTAATGCTATTCTTTTTATAAATTGACAAATTTAATTGTGACAATAACTAATGCACTAGTGACAAGAATTATTGTAAAAAATAATTTTAATATTTACGATATAATTCATGCAACACTATTTTAGTGAACATTAGTGAGAAAAAATTCGTCACTAATAAAATAACAATAATAACAATTTTTTTGTAACTATTGCAATATTTGTAGAATCAAAATTGTCATCACAAAAAAAAGTTATGTTATTATGACAAGCAGCTTCCAATAGCCCTAACAACCTTTTCAAAATTATACCCATGTACAATTAGGTGAAGGATTTTTATTGACATCTTGCCCCTCTGATTTGTCGAAGCTCACTAAGCCTTTTCTGGATCAAACTTTGCACCTTGTGTTTGAAAGCAGGGCAAGTTTCAATAGAATGACCTACGTTTCCACTATGATAATCACACGTTGCATTAGCATCATACCGTTTTAGATAAGGTGGTTTCAATGGTTCTAGTATAACTGGAGATACCAAATTATTCTTGACCAGTTTTAGGAATAACTCAGTGTAAGTCATAGGAATAGGGTCAATATGTGCCCTTTCTTGATTATCCTGAGATCTTCTTGAACCACTCGCTTGGTTGTTAGGCTTTGAAACTGTTGTAGTGATATGACTAGAATCATATGCAGGTACTTGAAAGGCTGATTAGTAAGTTGGTAAGTAAGCTGGTTGTGGATATGGTTGGTAAGGGTGAGGTCAAATATTGTTTATAGCAGGATAGTATGGGGCATAACCTTGTGGTGGATAGGGTTGATATCCCTTGAACTGTCTATCAAGGCTCGCGGCTTGAGCTTCAAGGTCTTTCTTTTCTGGCACCTTTTTGGTTTCTCCTCCTTTCAACTTGCCATTTTTAATAGCGTTCTCAATGATTTCGCTTAAGATTACCATGTCGACGAAATTCTTCATGGCATTCCCTATCATCTTTTCATAATAAAGAGATTTTAAAGTGCTGACGAATAATACTGTGGTCTCTTTCTCAGTTAACGAAGGCTGCACCTGAGAAGCTATGTCCCTTAATCTCTGAGCATATTCCTTGAATGATTCAGTTGCTTTCTTTTCCATATTCTGTAAAGAAAGGTGATCAATGGCCAAATCTATAATATGCCAGTACTGACTAATGAAGGCATGGGCCATATCGCTCCAAGAACAAATGTGGGTCCTATTCAACTGGATATACCATCTAGCAGCAGAGCCCGTGAGGCTGTCTTGGAACACATGCATTAATAACTTTTCATTATTAGCATGGGTAGCCATTTTTCGATAGTACATGGTAATGTTGGTCTTTGAACATTTTGTACCATCATATTTTCAAACTCTGGTACTTTGAACTTCGAAAAAATAACAGCATCCGAGACTAAACAGAACCTAACTGCATCCACTGAACCATAAAAACCAACTCCTTCCACTGCTCCCAGCCTTTCTTGTAGCATACTAATCTTCTGGTTAGCTTTCGAATCCACCCCCTTTTGATTTTAACTTTTCATTCTCTTTGGGATCATCTAAATCTGGGACCTGAACTAGTTCTACTGCCTTTTCTGTAAAGACAAGATTTACATAACTCTGATACTATCTAGGATTTGAAGCTGATAGCACTTCAGGGTATATGTACCTTACAAGATAGGTGAACTGCTGTGGTGATGGACCTTGTACGGGTTGGGCTTGATATGGCCCAAAATCAAAAGGGTACAGTGGGTCATCCTCCTCTTGTGATGGATGGTCTTGTTGGCTGATATTCTCCTTTACACTCTTTCCTTTATTTAACTTGTTCAAAGCCTCAAAAATCCTATTCAACTCTCCTTCTAGCTTTTCTTGAGCTTTCTCTATCCTCTTCGAGACGATTGGAATTTTCTTGTTCCATTTGTCTAGCTCGAGCTCTCGTATTGTATTGGTGAGTGAGGTTGCTTGGTGGAGCTATCCTTAAACTTTTAACACCACGATTATAATTAGAAATGTCATGCTATGCTTTATGTATGATATATTGATGCACGAATGAAATGTACATTTTCATAGATGAAATCTAATATGAAAATGATGTAGATGCAAAATGTTACATATGAAAATAAAAATAATGCATGACATAATAATGCAAATGCATAAAGACAAACAATCAAAATAGTTAGATCAACATAACTTATTCCTTCTTGTGTCCTAGTTTTGGGGTATATCTATCACTGGTTAAGAAGGGCTTTATCTTAGGGTTAGGTACTTCTAAGGTTCACTATATGCTGGGTTAGATGATTTTGACCACTAAAGGTTCCGAAAATTTTTCTTACATTATTGTCCATTACAGACTAGTAAGGCAACCCAATCCTCACCCATTACAGGCTACAAGCGAAAAAGATTCAATTTTAGTGGGAGTATTTGGCTAGCCATTGCGGAGGCATTAACAATAGGTACTTTACTCCCTCCTAAAAGGACAAAGCTCGGGTATAGAGCTCATGTTATGCACATGCATATGAATGACAGAACTAATAAAGTAAATAAATATGAATCAATAAAAAATCTATACAAAAGGTTCAATTTTATTAGGCTTTTGGATAACACAAATTTATTTGCTGGCTTGACTCTCTGTTGTCCCTAGTTGAGTCACCAAACTGTCATAACGTCTAGATCCAGGGATATATCGCTAGACATTGACTTAAGGAGTCACCACCAATCTTTGTTTGTTTAGGTACGATTGGCCACCTAAGGAATCTATCCTTTCAAGGAACACTTAAGCTTGACTAAAGGTCCCTAAAAGAATAGGTTCGGGTCTATTAACCAGAATAGGGTTCGGGAGTTTGGTTACAAGTGAGGAAGGTTATAGCACCCTCACAATGCCCATCGAAAGATGGTATCAGCTCAATTTCATGTTATCCAATAAGCCTTAAAAATTTTACTAAGTAATTAATTATTGAAAATTATTCTTAATTAACTCCAATACTTTTGGCAGAAAATTAAGAAAAATTCTCTCACCTCAAGAGTATACAAGAAAACTATTGTTTCACTTGCAGA